TCTCTCCAATGAAGTTTGGTGCATCATCCAGCAGCAACGACGCATCACATCCCTGCACACCCATAATATTTCTAAGACCACCCAAATTAAGAAAAAAAACCATGTCACACGTGACAAATTTCTAAGTTACATGCGTAAAGATGAAGGAGAAGGTGAATTTACGTTAACAAAACAGTCATGGTAGAAGAGGCGGAGGAGAGAGGCTCCCATTCGAGCCTCCTTTTTAATGGCGGATTCCACTATGGGTTTCACAGTGGGGAAGAGTTTTGGACAAGAAGTGGCATGAAAACTTGGTGACATTTCATCGATGGCCTTCGCTTCCATCTGCACAATTAGGAGAGCCAAGGTCAAGAAAATGGCTGTTGAGGCATAAGAGGAAGCGATTGATCTCATTTGTTTTTTTTGGTTAATTAGAGAGGCTTTTGGAAACACAGCAAAAAGCCTATGTTGATTAAAATTTTAAATTCAAAGGAAAAAAGAAGGTGGTAAATTCAGGTTAGCTAGGGTAGCCACTTATAGACTTAGAAGAATCGACTAACTCAACCTCAAATCCTAGAACTTAGCAGATGAAAGTTCCTAAAAAACAGAACAGTAACTCCATCAGTCCACAAACAAGTGTACCCAAGTTTTGCACACACGTTGGCTTTGAACATAACAAACCTTCCCCATCTAGAGTTTGACTCGGATATATATATATATATATATATCTGATGCAAAGTTTGATTAATTAATTCAAATCTTAATTAGTAGGCCCATTAATCCAATTCCCCTGTTTAAATTCTCTGTCACCAACCATATTATAATGCATTTTGTTCATTGGTGCTTGAGAATCTCTCTCTCTCTCTCTCTCTCTCTCTCTCTCTCTCCCTACCTAATGGAAAGCTTGGTCATTCCAATTCCATTCTCTCTCTTGCCAATGAAACAGTTATACATTTATGCATAAAGCAACTGAAATTAAATTTGCATTGGAAAGGCATTTTACACAGACCATAAGTGTTTGCCAACGGTCTAATTCAATGAAAAAGGATCTTGACTTGAGGAGGTCTTGGGTTCGAATCTCCACAACATTATAATTGTGTGTGTATGAGAAATCCTCCACTCTAATTTAAACTATCGCTTGTACTAAGAAAAAAAATAATAGTATAGATTTATCCATTTAATATATCTCAACAGAATGAACAGAACATAACACATTACGTTACAGCTTTCAAACAAAATTCCAAATCCTTCAAGGCCATCAAACCCAAAACATAGACTAAAACAAAATCTAAGCCAATCAATTTATTATAAGCACCACAGTGAGAAAACAAAGGGGCACAAGCTTAATTGGGCTTCCTGCAATTCTTCCTAATCTCCCCATTGGATCCAGTGAGAGGTTTGATGTCTCCCATCTTGATGATGGCGCTCACAAAGTCAGAACTGAAGGTGTTGTAGCTGTTGCTGTAGGTGCGCACTATGGAATCAGTGGACCCACCATTGAACAACTGCTGATCAGAGTGGAGGAGGCCTTTCTTCTGGATGAGGTTCTTGAAGTAGTTGTTGTCAAAGGCAGTAGGGGTTTGAAGATCAAGTGGGGCCAAGTTGTTGTCCCCTGAGCCAGAGGCTCTTGGGCAGTTTGATCGTCTTGTTTGGGCGAAGGAGCTATCCAAATTGGTCTCATTGTATATGCGGGGCCTGAATTGTATGCACCTTGATTGCCCAATTGTATGCGATCCTGGCAAATTTTACAAGCCCAAATAAAATAGTTAGAACTTAGAACACTTGATTAAAAAAAGACAAAAGTTATTTTTGGTCTTTGTAATTTCAATTCTGTCAATTTTTTCCCTTCACTTTCTTATTCTGTCGCGGAATTGGACGTATCCTTGAATTGCGAAGATATAACACTATATGGGTCAAATTGACATATTTAAAAGCATAAGACAAAAATGGAAACTTTGACAAACTATCGAGACGAAAAGTGATTTTTAACCTTAAAATAATTAATTGGTGTCCATAAACAAGTCTAGGGTGTGCATCAGAAAAATATAATCACCAGATAAAGCAACCAAGTCCCTGGTGGAAAGGCCAAGAGCATTGAATCTAGAGATCAGCTGGTTTAGGTTCGAGGTTGGAGGGGGGATATTGTTATTAGCAGCGGCCTGGCTTGCAGTTCTTGCGTCTCTTCTTCCCAATTTCACGTTCCAACTTGGTCCTCCAAGCTACATTAATTCACACATAAAAAACAAAAACGTAATTAATTAAGTTTATTAAGTAATTGGATCATGAATTATTGAGTAGGTAATAAATTAGTTTAACTTACGATGGCAACAGAGTCTCTGGCAGCAATGGCCAATATATCAGCGCATGACACCACACCGGGGCACACATTCTCCACTGCCGACTTTATGTTGTCAACCACGTCAAATCCCCGTGCAGAATTCCGGTTGGGAACTGCATTTTTCTCTCCGGTGAAGCTCGATGTGTCGTCAAGGAGCAAGGAGCCATCGCATCCCTGGAAATTGGCAATTTATTATGAAATTAAACCCAATGAAGAGAGAAATTAGTTAACCTAGACAACGACATCTTAGAGAACGTGTAGAAACCAATGCGTCAAACTTGTATTTTCAAAGACATCATTATATAATGCATGCAAGTACTTTGTAACGCAGACAATTTTGTTGACCTTTTGGCTCATGATGTCATGTTTGATATATAAATATAATACAAATTTGAAACCTAGTTATCTAACTTTATTTTTTTTGGCATACATTAACGAAACAGTCGTGGAAGTGGAGGCGGAGAAGGGAGGCCCCAATTCGGGCCTCGTTTCGAATAGCGGATTGCACTGTGGATCTCACGGCGGAGAAGACCCTCGGGCAAGAGCTAGAGTAGAAATTTGTTGAAAGTTGAGCACTTGAAGTGGCCATTTGCAGAAGGAGAGCCAAGGTCAAAATGGCCATGAAAGAAGAGGAAGCCATTGATGCTTGCTCGATATAATGTATAGTGTGTATATGGTGGATAACTTAAGCCAGAGCTTGTGTTGAAAACGAGGCCAAAGGTGGTGCTACTTATATAGCGCTTCTTCTCAAGGTGGGGGGTCTTCTCAAGGTGACTTGGGCCGACAGGTTACCTAACACGTAGAAATCTCTGTGCATGGCTTTGATTATTCTAAGTTCATAATTAAAGTAGCAAAAGATAACACCAAAGCAAATGATTTATAGAAAATATACAAGACCAATTAGCAAGAAACGCGTTTCTGTTAGCATATTTGGGCGGCCATCGGCGAGTCAGCGAGTTCACACACTTGAGTAGACATATGCATATAATGCATGCACGCCAAAAGCTTGCTAGGAAATTATGTGTTTTCCCGTTATAAAGTATAAACACCTTCCACGTACCCCAGAAAAAGAAGAAAAAAGGTTTTTGTTTTTTGTTTTTTGCAATCAAATAAAAGAAATATCTGGACTGTTTTGATGTTTTAATTTTTCAAAATTAACTTTTGGATATTGCTTGCCTCCTTCTATAAAAGAAGATACTCTTTATTTGTGCAAATCACGGTTTACACATCATGGCAGAGCCAAAAAATCTATCAAGAGAGGTCAACCTCAAATGACAAGATTAACACACAAAATAATAATAAAAATAATATAATATTAAAATCCTTTGTATTAATTTATGTACCATTCCAAAATATTTACAACAGAGCATAGGTTGTCGATCTTCAATTTGAATTTTCGCTTTTCAGATGTTTTTGGGGATAAGTTCATGTCCTGCTTTTAATTTTAGGTAATTAGGTTAATAATTATTAAGTTATTAAAAATAAAGAAGTAATTAAAAAGGTAAGTAGCATTTGTGATACAAAAGTTTTCATCTTCTGTAAGTTAACATTCTACTTTTGTAGTTTTTTCAAAAGATAAGACGGTGAGAAGGGTCAAATGTCAGAAATACTGTATAAAAAAATCAAATGCAAACATGTAAAAAGATCAAATATGCTAAACATGAGAAGGGTCACTCGACCACTGTGAACCTTCATTGGCTCCACTTTCAGACACATGTGTAAAAATAATTCATAAAAAATACAGAAAAATAAAACTTATACACACATGTTATATTACCATTGACATAAATGTAGGAGTTCTTACTTACATAAAAGGAAGGAGGAAAGTATATACCTTTAGCGTTTTCATATTTTTTAAGTCCCACTCCCTCCCAATGAGTCATAATGGTACTGGTCAAAAGTTGGAATAGAATACTTGTGGCTAGTATGTATTTGTATTTGAGACTCAATCTCTCGCTGTTCTAAAGAGTCAGAGTCAGAATCAGAATAAATATATGGGCCCAATTACATCTTTTGGCAGGTAAGCTACTTGAGAAATTTTGAGCAAAAGCATGGATGGATGCTGTTTTCCTGTGTTTCTACTTTCAACTTTGTACGCGACAGAAACAGTTGGTAGCTGCTATAGATTGCAACATGGTAACTAATTAATTAATTAGAGTTTGACTAATTTACACGCATGAGCCTTTCTAATTCCCCATTTTGATGCTTCATCATCCCTAAAATTACTCGGTACCCGCCCAATTATTTTTGTATAAATCACGTTGGTAAGTCTCTATTTCCCCTTTTTTTTAAAATTTATTATCATCAATAATCATATCTCTTGTATGTTTTTCTCACCTAAACTAGGCTGTCGATCATGTTTTTCTCCAAGCATTTACAACGGATGGCGGAGACTAAGCTCTGCATGGAGGAACTCCATTGGTGGCTCAGTAGTTATTTAACTACTTTATTTCTACCGGCCACTAAAAAAGAAATGTTTTATCTGTTAATTAATCACACTAACATATTAGGTTACCAAGTTAATTACTCCTGCGATCATTGACTTCTTCTGCAATTGTACTTTCGATTTGTACAAATAGCGATCGTAATTTGAAGTACGATCATACATAGCTTACATAGCTTACAAAGACTTTGGTGTGTGATTTTTCTTCTAGCTAAAAGTGTAAATCAAAGATACACATAATCAAAACTTGTGATATAAATTAACTTAGATTGAAAGTAAAACATACATATTGTCAAACTAAAAAAGTGAACAATCATCATCCATATTACAAAGTAGTCAATAGACACCAAACTTTCTAAATTACTTTAGACTTGTAGCCCAAGTGGAGAAGTTGCAATTGCTTTGCCCTCCACCGGATCAACACAACCCTCCTTCGCTTCCACCGATTCCCTTTTGTAGACATATTTGCAAGAAGCCCACAAAAATGCCCCTAAGTTTATAGAAGATATGACCAAAAGAAACCCATAGTAATAATCCAAGTGACAGTCATTCAAGTTGTTACCGATCCAACTTTTACCTCCATTCCTCCCTGTAATTTTATCCACCACCGTCACAAGAAAGCTGTTCAAAAAGTTACCAACCCCAATCCCACTTGTGAAAAAAGTTGTCCCAAGACTCTGCATGTCCTCTGGAGACTGATCATAGAAAAACTCAAGCAACCCAATTGCATTGAACACATCAGCTATCCCAAGCAGCACATATTGGGGTAGCAACCAAAAAATGCTCATGGGCACAATTTCTTTAGGCCCATTAAGATGGTGCGCTCTGATCACATGCATTCTCCTAACTTCCACAGCATAAGCAATTGCAATGGCTATAACTTGGACCACAAATCCAATCCCAAGTCTTTGGAGAAGTGTGATTCCTCTAGGGTTTTTGGTTCTGGCTCGTACCAACGGCACAAAATAACGGTCGTACATAGGCACAGAGAGAAGCATTGAGAGGGTCACAAAGCTCCCTAGGGAGGCTGAGGGTATGTGGAATTGTTGGCCTAGGCTTCGGTCTAGGGTGGTGCCTTGCTTGACAAACAAAGTGTTGATTTGTGCCCAAATGGTGCTAGGAATTAGAGTGACAAGCCATATCATGGCCATTCCAATAACTAGCTTTGTTCCTTCAACTTGTGTCACTGTGCATGGAGGCCTCAATGAAGCATCCATGTTGTTGCCATCTTTTATCGCAGCCTTGTCCAAGAACCTATTCAAATAAGAGGCAAATAAGAGTTCGAATCATTAATGACAACATAACATATTAGATTCTTTGACAAAAAGAAAATTGAAATGATAACCAGCGGAGCAGTGGAGTTTGTGTTTCATGTTTATTTTGTTTGGATTTGAGACAATCAATGGTGGGTACCCAGTACATGATACCATCCCATTGTGACACCTACTCTTCCAGAAACAACTTGGCTGAGAGATTGTGACCATTCAAGGAAGATTGTGAGAAAGGAGCAAAGGGAGTGGTGTGAATAGTGCACATGGGAACAATTTATTAGAAGGAATGGCTAGAAAAAGTCATAGAAGCCCACCACTGCCTTAGCGTAGTAGATTTCCTAGTTATATGCACATGAAATTATAATGGGAGGTCCCCGCCCCACCATTTGCTCTGCCACCAAGGCTAGGCTTTAAATTTAGGGGCAAAGGACCATAGAATCCATAAAGGCCTGATCTCATTGACCATATCCTCAGAATATTCCATGCCAGATGGAAAAAGAAGGGTATCTTTTTCCCCAAACTATTAGTATAACTTTATAATTTTTAATATAAAGCAGAAAATTAAGTTAAATTATAGCTTACCTGAAAATTGGAGTGTGGTACATCTGGCGTTTTCCACTATTAATGTAATGCTGTGGCTCAAACTCATGAAGCTCAGATGGGTTGCTAGGGAGCTGAGCCTTTCGATTTTTATAGGCAGCAATGGGGATTTGAAACAAGTCCCTTGCAGGGCTTTTGGTGTTGCTAACTTTGTGCCTATACATTGGGGTTCCAAAGTAGAAGATGAACAAGGACAGTATAAGACCAACTGTGGGGATGCCATACCCTAACCCCCAACCCAAGTTTTCTTGGATGTAAACAAGGCCTAGGGTTGCAACTAAAGCACCCAAGAAAGAGCTGAACATCCACCAGTTGAAAAATGAGGCCTTGAGCTTCTTCTCTTGAGGGTCGAAATCATCAAACTGGTCTGCCCCAAAGGTGGAGATGTTGGGTTTTGTCCCCCCAGACCCAATTGCTATGATGTAGAGCGAAATGTAGAAGAATGCAATCTGTGAAGAGGAGGCCTTGTTGCAAATGCCATTGCTGCAGCTTGGCTTGAAGCTTTTCAGTGAAACAGCCATCGTCAGAAGCATCATTCCCTGTATTGATTGAAATGCTTCTGTTCATTAATTCTGATTCTTGCTTGTAAATTAAAAAAATTAGCAGAAGTGGACAAATTGGAAGAAATGGGGACAAAAGCTAAGTCATTTCAATTCAATTTGACAAGTTGGTTTTGTCTTTGTTTAGGCAATTGATCAGTAGGGACCCCGGTTGGTGTTTTTATTGATGAGTACAAATAATTTCATGTCTTTATCTAGCAGTTGAAGTTCATTTTCCGTCGACGTTGGAACATTAATAAAACAGAATATTATCTTCATATATAATAAAATGCTTAGGCCTAATGCAAATCATTAGCCTTTGAGAAAATGAGAACTCGCACAGTTTCAAGTGTAACTCAAATTAGCTATGCATTGGATGAATTAATGAATTAATTAATGAAATAAAGATTATTAATTTTGATATGAATTTACCATGACGTAAATGAGGGATGAGATGGTGAAAGTCCAGAAACGACCCAAGTAAGAGTCGGCTATGTAAGCCCCCAGAATTGGTGTCATCCATACTGAACCGGACCAGTTATTGACATTTCTAACAGAGGAAACTGTGTCTTCATGAAGCTGAGTGGTCAAGTAATTCACCAAATTTGAAGCTATTCCATAGAAAGCCATCCTCTCAAATGCTTCGTACCCTGAAAAGTTAAATTAAATTACAACTTCAACTTTACAAATTAATTAACAAGTGATCATGTATATGCATACAGAAAGCATGTCCAAATTTGTAATATTATGTACGTACCAACAAGAAAAGCACAAGCTTTCCATTTGCCAGTCTTGGAGGCAAGCACAGGGCGGCCCTGAAGATCTACGGTGCCATCCCTGGTGTAGGAAGCTTTGGCTTCCATGGATCAATCGCACAGTTTGATGATGAGAAATATAAGAAAGAAGCTGAAATTAGTAACTAAGGAGAGGAGACGATACTACTGATAGTGAAGAAGGTGGAAATAGGAAGCTTATATTTATAGGTATAAAACGGTGCGTAATTTGATGTGTATATATGGGGCGGGGGGTTTGGGGCTCTGCTATCTGCTTACTTTTACTTGGAAAAGACGTCCCTGGTGTATTCTGACCACGCCATGCCAAATCATCAAGGCCAAGTGGGAGGCTCTTCGGGTGATGGTAACAGGAGGTCACACACACTAAGGGCCAAGGTGCTGCTTAACAGGAGGTCACCCAAATAAGATAAATAAATGGCTAAAATTTTAGCTTAGAACATGGAATTCTGTATTCCACTAGAAAGATATATAAAGAAATCTCAAGGTTTATTTGATAAACTGGAATAACAAAACATAACCCTAACCACGGATAAAGTATGTTTATATACTCCTAGAAATTCTAGGAATAATAAAGGAATTAAAATAGAAAAATAACAAAGTTTTCAAAAACTGTAAAAACTTTCAGAAATAAACGAATTATGGAAAATATTATATTTCATATTGGGTGTCCCAGAGTAGTACAGTTCATGAGTTTATACATGATGACCGGAAGTTTTCCATTTTTTCTTTTCATTTTTTGTTCGATCAGTTTTTTTTGGGTTAAGTGATCAAAGTATTTGATTTAGTGAAGTTCAATTCGGATTAAAGCCTCCTATTAATCACAAGATTAAAGCCTCTTAGTATTTGATTTGTTTTTCGTAGGGTTATAAAGGAGGAGTAGCATCTTTTTTTTTTTTTTTTTTTTCTTTTTTTTTTTTGGTCAAATTCATGGACATGTGTCAACTTTTTGGAAAGGGTGGTGAGAGTACACATTAGGTTATAGTGATGAGCAAAAATGCTCTATTTACTTCTAGTAATTGAAGTCTATAATTTTCGAGTTGAGGAATTATGTATAGATGGACCATGATAATCAATATGGCAATTTTTTCCCAAAATGGGAAACACGTTGTGTACTCATAAAGAAAAAGCATGCCTTATCCACCTTAGTCTGTGTCTAATCTTTGATTGGATCACTTCTTCTTTAGATATATCCTTAATCTTCTTCTCTTGATATTTCGGATGTGGTCCTGATCTATATGATGAATATTAATCATGATTTTTACCTAATTACGCCACAAAAAAACCACAATGACGTAGTCAGACCGGCTGGCTAGGCCGGTTCAGCCAAGAGGATGAAAAATAAGAACCCCACCTACCGCACTATATACCCACTACTTTAGGGGAGGTTTTGAACACAAACATGTAAGATGGCTGCCCATGTCCCAAATTAAGAGGCCTCCAATTTATATAATACCCCTATATATAAATATTATGTTAAATAACTGTAGTATTTAAAAAAACTATATATATATTATGTTAGGCCCAAACCCATTATTATACATATATTATGTTATGTATATTATATTATTATAAAAATATTATGTTAGGCCCAAACTAATCAGTCAATTCAGAATTAAAAAAATAAACTCAAAAAAGGCCCCTCGTTATAAAAAAGGAAAGAAAAAAAAACCCAATTACTCAATTCAAAATTAAAAAGAGAAAACTAAATAAAGACCCAATTATTTTTTAAACTTATAGCTTAAATCAATTAACCTAATTGAATCAATTAGGAAATTGAAAAAGACATGGTAGAAAAAAACTTGATTATGTAAAGTTAATTGATACTTTTGAATCGAAAAATACAATATAAGTGATGTTTTGATTCATTTTACAAAATTATTGTTTAAATTACATATTGATTGTTTTTTTAATGTTACAATTGTGAATTTGATTTCATATAATATATTTAACTTACCCCAAAAAAATCACATGAATATACATATAGAATAGAAGGCCCGAGTTAGGATGTTCACATAGAGCCTCTAAAACGTAGGACTGCCGCTGCACTACTTAACACCACTAAGTAACCCTTAACCCTAATTTATTGTCAACGAAGTCTAGCCCAGTGGAAAAAAGCCTTGACTTGCAGACTGAGGTCTTGAGTTCAAACCCCCATGACTTGGTTTTGTGTGTGTGTGAGAAACCCCCTCCTTGTAATTATACTATCGCTTGTATTTAAAAAAAAGGATCAATTGCAGTAAACCCCTCAAACTATGGAGGTCATTACAAACTCATCCCAACCTTTAAAGACCTGTTTGACCAGTACCCCAACTGTACGGAACCTTTCAAAATACACCCCTCGTTAGTGAATATGTCAATTTCTTCGTTAAATGCTTACCATTCCCCTTCATCCTAGCCGAGAACCCAACCTCCAAACACCCACCCCCATCCCATATTACACCCCAACGCTGACCGCTACTTAATGACCCCATTGCACCCAGTCAATTCAACACTGACATATATTTGACACGTAAGCATTTAAAGGAAAAACTGACAGATTCACTAACAGATGATGTATTTTGAAAGGTTCCGTAAAGTTGGGGTACTGGTCAAACAGGTCTTTAAAGATTGGGATGAGTTTGTAATGACCTCCATATATATAGTTTGGAGAGTTTGTTGTAGTTGATTAAAAAAAATTAAAAATTAAAAATATATATAATAATAATAAAAAAAGATGATAGTAAATTTGTTTTTCTTCCACTCTTTTTTGAATAATACACAAAAATCTCCTCTCTCTCTCTCCAAAAAGGAGATAGAGCTCATTGCCTCATTTCCCAATTATACTTGGTTACCATTTTTTTTTTTTCAAGGGAGGCCTCCCTAGGGTAAGGTAATATAAGTATTTCTCACTTCAATGTCAGTATATGAGTATAGGTAATATAAGTATTTCTGACTTCAATGTCAGATATGATGTATTTACACTCACGTACTGACATGTGGGAAGATAATATTTTGCTCTCCAAGCGATATTGGAAAATAAGGAAATTGAATCCACTTGAACTATAATGCCCTTAAAGATAACTTCATTCAGCTAATGTTGGACCTAAATTCCTCAACTAAACAAAAAAGAATCTATTCTCTACTCTCTACCCTCTTTTATATTATCACAACCACCATCAATTTTCTTATGTCCGGCCCCTACGAGATCCTATTCGAAATTGTTGCATGTGTGAACATTGGGATAATTAAGCTGGACGGTACGTGGACCTACCTGTACATGATAATTGATTCCACTATCATGATTCCAGCTTCGTCTTTCGTTGTACAATTGTTGTTGCTTTAAGGAATGGCTCGAACACTTCAATTTCCAGACTCCTAGATAACAAGGAAACATACGTACACATCCTTTTCCTCGTGATGTGAATTCTTGCAAATATGTTATGAAATACTAGAAAAATATATAAGCTTAGCTGAGTGGCCATGACTTGAGAAGTTCATGGTTTCTAAGTTACACTTTTTGATATCGATGCCAATCTTTTTGTAATCTTGACGACAAGAAACGAGAGAGAGAATATTCTTGCACCGCCTTTGAGGTCAATGCACGTACTATATACATCCATGGATATATACTTAACACAGCCTTGTGAGCCATACAATTCACCTGTCCAAGTAACACCCAAGTGAAGGTTTTAATTGAACCGTCCAACCCCCCCTACCCCCACAAGAGTTTGTTTTGTTTTGTTTTGTATCCCACACTTTATTGCATGCTTCATCATTCAGACAGCACCATATCTGTCGTGGTCCATGTTACCATGTACTACTTGATTCTATGTGTTACCTATATGTGAGGTTAACTCGTGATATAGCAATAGTCGCCTACTCGATTGTATTGATTATTCACGTATTGTGCTCGATTTTTAACGTTATTTATGACTTTTGAGATTATGTATAAAATTGAAAATTGTTAACCATAGGAAGAGGAACACTATTAATGATCTCCCACCATATATATGTCATGACCCTTATCTTTGAAATGAAAGAAAATGCATAGCTAGCTAGTCTGTGAAAATTGACCTTCAAAGAATCACATTAATTAATATCCTAGCAGAGGCGACAGACCATCGCTTTAGTCTATCTTTTTTCCTTTCAACTCCAAATGATCATATACGATTGCTTTTCCTTCACACTTCTTTAAAATGCCATCGGGACCCATCAATTATCATGATTTATGGGCAGGAAAATTTTGACAAGATTCCAAGAATAGCATTCTAAGTTTGCAATGTGAACTGGAGGATTGGAAAATGGCATAATGCTAAGTTTAATTGGTTGTTGCATGGCATTGAGGGTAAACAGCAACAGCAACAGCAACAGTAACCCATAATAGCCTTAGCTAGCTAGTCAAACCTAGTCACACCCCAAGATGCCATTAGCTCTATAAGCTAATCATGTAATTGGATGCCCTCTTATTGACGTTGTGGCCAGAAACAAAAACAGTACTAAGCTTTTAACATCCCTTAACCCCACCATTTTAACATGTTCACCGCAACGAAAATAGTCATCAGTGACGAAAACATTTTCGACATCCCAAATTGCCTTTGCAACAGGTCTACATAGCCCTTCGAATAACTCGGGCATTCGCAACAGACATGATTTCATGTAAGTTGAAACCATATGGTTGTTTTCAAGGAAAAATTTCATGTTGTTGATGAGCCTATAGCTAGCGCTCTTAGCTACTCATGTCTGGCTGATATATAAATTTGATACATATATTGTAATTGTACTCCTAACTATAGCCACATTGAAATTCGAAAACTTCAAATTAAGTTGCCAAAACCAGGTTCCCTACTTGTGGGGGAAAGGCCTATAAATATCACATTAGCAACAAACATAACATAGATAGTATGAAAGATGAGTTGAAGTGGCTAGCTATGAGTTTTTTATTTTCGAAATTATTTAATTTCTTTTATTGAAGTGTCAATTTATGGGTGACAATGATGAGTTGCCAAGTTGCGGTGCATGCAACATAGCAACTTGCAAAGAGTAGTCATGATAATAGGGCAACCCAATTGAAGAAAACTATTGAAACTGATCAAACATCGCTGTTCCCACTCCAACAAGGACAATCAACTTCTTTGGAATTGGGTTCGCTACAGCAACAGCTGCATGTCCAGCCATTTTGGGATCCACATCATGCATTATTCATGCAATTCAAAAACGTACGGGCACACAGAGAAAAACTTCTGTGAACTTGAACCCATCATAACCACAGGATTTAAATTTAATTAAATAAGATTGAATTCAATAACCCCAAATAGGAAATGCATTTAAATGTAACAATAATAATAGTAATAATAGAGGAAAAATGGTACTTATTCAATGCCTTGCACACACACTCTTCCACAACTAAAGAATGTAATTTGAGTCAACATGTCTAGCACAGTGAAAAAGAGCCTTAGCTTGCATACCAGATGTTTAGGTTCGAATCCCCACAACACTATAATTATGTGTGTGTGTCAAAATCCCCCTCCATCGCTTGTATTAAAAAAAAATTGTAATTTGACATATACATTGAGTCTCATGAATTCGGAATCTTTATTTAGTACTCAATCGTCTAGTAAAATGGTAAAGTAGCGAGCTAGAGTCTAGACTATAGGAACCAGAAAATGAGCACACAAAAAAAGGGGTCAAAGCA